TGGGACACCTGCTGGGGGGAATCAGGAGGACACATGGGGAGGCAGAGGCCAGAAGGACCTACTTGACCCTAAACGCCCACAGGCCTTGCACCATTCCGGTCCAGCCACAAGGTGGCAGGCAATAGCCCTGAGAGCCTCTGAGACTGCCAGAAGGCCGTAGCTGGCGCTCTCTCCCGGGGGTTACTAGACCCTGGGGAGCCACAAGTTCTCTGTGTAATCGCCATTCATCCACAGAACGTGGGATTAAAAACCCGGATTTTCTATTCGTTTTGGTTGCAAATTGTAACAAACCGTCCTAATTCCCTTAGTTCCTAGGTGCCGTCTTGGAGAGAACGTGTGTTCTAGAATGTGTGTCAGATCATGGCAATGCCAGCCCTGACCCTTGTCTATGAAGGTGTTAGTCCCCCGGCACAAGGAAGAAAAGAAGACTTGGTGAACGCTGGGGTACTTTCCAGAAATGCAGCCAGGACCCGAAGTTGCGGAAGTCAAAGGCATGGGCTTTAACGGTTCCTGTGGGAATGGGCTGTTCCTCATGGTGGGTTTTCCAGATAATTGAATTTTAAATGCTGAAACTTGTTTTCCTTTTAGTCTTTTCCAATGGGAGGCTTTCTGAAGTATATCACACACTTCTCTGGCTTTTTCCACAGCAACCAAGTGTAATCTAACCTTTCCTTAATGTCTTGAGGTCATTGTGAGGGTCAACGCTTACTGCGTACACCATCCTGCAGAATGTCTGGGGCATTCTGGCATATTCTGGTAGATTCTGGCAGGAATATTCTAGAATATTCTGGAAGGCCCGCATGCTGAAGGGCCCGAGAGACTGTAGTATAAAGCTGTGATGGGCAAATCTTGGGCTCTGCAACCTCTTACCTGCCTCACTGTCCGTAGTCATTTTTCCAGGTAACACCTCATGGCGGCCTCTTGACACCGTGTTTTGAATCTGCTGTAATCCAGCAAGAATGACAGGTTGCCATGGGTAACCAGAGTCTCAGCTTGTACCAACCCTAAATTTAATTTTACACACAATTTCCAGGCAGCAGATACTGTGCTGAAGGTTACTTCTAGCCAGGGCTGCCCATCAAATGGGTGTCTCTGCTCTAGCATACATCCCTCCCAAGTGCCATGCCAGCTGCCCTGGTCCATCCCAGTCTGGAAGCACAGTATAGCATCACTGGGTCTCCTGGGGAAAAGATCACGTTCATATTACTGTTATGGGAGTGGACTGCTCTCACTGCTGTATTGCTCTGTATTGCTGTGCATTTCTCCCGGTGCCTCGGGATGCTCGCCTCTATAGGAAGAAGCACAGTGCCTATAGGAGTTGGTGTTACCCAAGCTTTTGGCATCTACTGGGGTACTTGGAACATACCCGCTTATATGAGCAGCAGAGCCTTGCATCTGAACATGACCCTGATGGCTGGGCCAAACATTATTCTTTATCTTTCCTGCTGAATGAACCCACAGAGTTTAGTCTCTTCCTCCCTCCAGACCAGGATTCAGGCCTCAAGAGATGAGCTGGGTGGGGTATGAAAAACTCCATTTGACTGAGTGTCTACCACGTGCTGGGTGCTGCATTCATTCCATTATGGTGATCGTCTCCATTAATCCACTGAGAGACTGTGAGAGAAATAGCATCACTTCCTGCTGCCACAGGCAACATCCAGTCAGTAGCCAGCTCCGTCCTACTTCCCCGACTCATCTCTGCTCACGTCAACTCCTGAACAGGAACACCCAAAGTTCACATGCTGAAAATACACACTGGGAATGAAACACATCGGGTCCTTCTACTTCTCAGAAAAATCTTTGTGTTCGGCTGTGTGGGTTTTCTTTTAATTCACTGCACATTTTGTTACCAATTTGGAACAATCTGTCCCTAGGGAATAGGTCTGATTTACTTATAGAAAGCTAGTGAGGGAGTGATGGGGCTTAGAAAGTATTCCCTGTAGGGACTAATTTTAAAACTCCTTTCCAGTTCTTCCTGCACCAAACAGAAGTAAATAGAACATTCCAGAAGATTTCATCTTCCCCAGAGTGGTGGTGGAAGAGCTCACAAACAAAACCTTCCTCCTTGTGTTATCAGATACACCAGCAAGAAAAGAAATGTGACATTAAACATGACCAATATCCTGTCTGATCCCAGAAAGTCTCTAGACGCTCACACCAGGGTGAAACACCAAGGACTTCTTACCCCTGGAAACCATATGCAGAGCTCAGGAATATCAGCCCAGGAGAGGGCTGGTCGCTCGGGGCAATCACAGGGTTAGGTTCTGTGAATTTGCTGTCCTTTCCTTGGGGAATCAACATTCCAAATTGATGTTAAACCAATCTTTCAAATGAGCAAACCATGACCTCATCTGCCACATTTTGCACCTGCTCCTCCCACACTTAACACATGCGATTCTCCAAGCATCCTCTTCCAAAACCATCCACCGTACTCTCAAGTTTCCAGAGGAATTTCTCTCAGTGAGAAAATTGCCTGCAACTTGGCCAGAAGGTGACAGAGCCAAAATATCACGGCTGTGACAAAGTGCCACAATGTGGTGGTGTAAGTCACAGAAGCTTGTTACCCCCTGGTGGGAGCAGCCCAAGGTTGGGATGAGGGTGGCAGCAGAGCAGCGCTCTGCAGCGGTGCCGGGAAGGACCTGTTCAGGTCTTCCCCCACAGTCCCAGGACTGTGGTACGATGAGCTCATTCTTCCCTGTGGCATGCTCTCTCCCGGTGTGCGGGTCCAGATCTGTCTTTTCTTATTAGGGCACCGGTCACGTTGGATGAAGGGCTCATTCTATTCCACTCTGACTTTACCTTATCCAATTACATCTGGAATGCCCTATTTCACATTAGGATCACATTCTAAGGTACTGGGGCTTGCAATTCTGGGTGATTCACTTTAGCCCATGGTATCCCTAAAGACCATCTTGAGTTTAAATCAAACTCTAGAGAGTGAGCAGAAAAGATTGCCCAGAGAGTGCCTTCTGTCATAATCACATGTGTTGCATGGATGGTTCATCATGTGGCTAGGGTGGGCGGAAAGTCAGTATATTTACCCCTGACACGTGTGGTACACAATAAGCAGGGCGGGGGGCAGGCAGGCAGTGACTGACAGAGCTGTTGGCCAAGGAATAGAGCAGGAGTACCAGGGTGTTTCTACAGAACCTTCATTCCTTCACCATGTTCTAGGGCAAATCTCACAAAAGTCAGTGTGAACTGAAGCTCATAGTTACAAAGGATGTCATCAGAACCTGCAGAAACACCTTCACCTCCCCACATAACTGCCTGTCTGCATTGGCAGGCTCTAAATGCACAAAGTCAACCAACTGCAGATGGAATGCTTTAGAAAAAAAAAATGGAAATGGTGTCTGTTCTGAACATAGAGACACCCTTTTTTTTTCTTATTATTTCTTAAACTGATAAAGCAAAACAATACTCTGCATAGGAATCACATTGTACCAGGCATGGCAAGCAATGCCAGGATGATTTAAAGGCTATGGGAGGACGTTTATTGGTAATACGTAAATATCACACCATTTTATATAAGGGGCTTGAGCACCTGAGACCTGGTAACTGCAGGGGATTCTGAAATCAAGCCCCCCAGTATACTGAGGGACAATGACACGCAAACCCCAAAGTGTGTCTTCTCCTGAACTTCTGGCTGGGTGTAAGTTTCTCAAAGGGATTCTATTTTAAAATCGAGTTTCCTTTTATACGATAAGGCTTCTGTTTGTTGTGTCAGTTTGAGTGGGTAGAAGCTTTACAGTTTGTTCCAGTCATTTTCTTTCCTGGCGTCTGCGATTCTACTGAGCGAGTATTTGTAGAGTTATAAAGCAGCCACGAAATTATGCACAGACCCTGGCATTTTGAACAGAAATGAAGGTAGTACAGCACAATGGTTGGGAACCAGATGGATCCAGGCTCAAATTCGGTTCTGCTCCTTGTTAAGGTGGTTATGTGTGGGTAGATTTTCTGTTCCATAGCCATCCTTCATAGAGTTGGGGGAGGTCTTAAATGAGATACTGACCAGCAGATGTCCAGTATGGTTAAAAAAAAAAGCTCAATAAATGGTACTTCCTATATCGGTTCAAGTGGGAAATGAACCCTGAAATATTTATACTCCTGAATATAATTTTCTTAGTGGTTATGAGGCCTTGGAAGTCAAGCAACTCAGGTGTGCAGTAAAAGATTAACTCGGGAAGATTGGTTATTATCCCGGGTAGCTTCCCAACAAAGGCTTGGGCTGTGACCAGCTCCTGGGAGATGACGCCTGAGCCCTTAAAGTATTTCCCCTGAAAAGAATGTGTCACCAGGGACCCTGAGCCATGCCAGGCAGTTTATGTGGGAACCTAGGGCATGTGGCTTTAATTTGACCTTGCAGAAACTAGAGCCTGAGTATAACTAATGTTAACCTCACACATACTACGTGCCTAAGTGACACCACCACCTGTCAATGAAAACCCTGGACACTAAGGCTCCATGAGCATCCATGGATGGGAATTCTGGGGCTCTGCCGTCTCCTGTCATTGCCAGAACTGGTGCCACCTGCTCAGCCGCCTCCCCAGGAGACACCAGGAAGAGTATGTCTGGTCTCTCCTGATACCACTCCCTGCACTTTTGGCCTCTGGTATCCTTTCACCATAATGAACCATAGATTTTCTGGTATTCTCTGGGATACAGCTTCTAACCTTTGTGCCAGGACCTCCAGGCGCTGTTATGGGTCCCACCTTTGGTGCCCTGATGGGAGGTGAGGTGAGGGAACAGAGGCACGAGCAGGACATTTCTCATGCTCTATTGCAGGCATTGTTTCTTTTTCTCTTTACCCAAAGTTTCAGGCAAAAAGAAAATACTCTCCAGTCTGAGTCTTCCAGAGTGCAAAGGAAGCAAACATGAAACCTCCATGTACTTAGCTTCTCAAGGCTCACAACCATCTGCGATTGCAATCCACACACCAGACACAAGTGGCCCACAGGCACCCAGCCCGAGCGGGCACATATGCTCGCACCCTCACTTACCTGGCTCCACCCACGTCGACCCCGACCATCAGCTGCCCGTTCAGGGAGAGGATCTCGTCCCGCAGGCGCACCTTGCCGCTCTTGCCCGCTGGGCTGTTCTTCCTCAGCTCCGTCACCCAGATGCAGCCCACGTCCAGCACGGGACCCTGGTGCGGCTTTCTCTTCTTGCCGCCTCTGCGCTTCTCTCCATAGTCCCCGAAAACAGGGATGTTACCAAAACTCAGGCCCACGGTCTCTGTGTCCCCCAGCTCCTTGGTGAGGTACACAGTGCAGATCTCCATGGCAGGGGGGCTGCGGTCGGGCGGGAGCGTACTCTCATCCACCGCGAAGTTCAGCTGGATGTACTCCTGTAGCTTCTGGATGGCCGCCTGGCAGAGCCGCTGCTCCGGCCCGTCCCCACCCTCCCGGAGGCTGTTCTGCAGCCACTGGCAGAGGAGGGGCAGGTGGAGCACGGCATTGTCCTGGGTGATGGGCATGGTGCTCAGGCCAGGACGCCAACATCATGAGTGCACCTGTTCCTGGGGGCTGGCCCTGGCTGGGCCCCATGTCCCTTGGGAAGCTTGGCTGTCATCAGCATTGCATGGGTTCATGTTCAGACTGGCAGAGGAGCCTCAGGCCGCGACTCTCAAGTCTGGATTGTTGACCTTGGCAAGAGGAGGACAGGACACAATTACTGCAACTCAATAAGGAAGGAAGGAAGTGTCGGACAAGTCCTTGCTTGGCTCATTTCACAGTCGGGCTCATGCAAATGATGTGGGAATCCAGTATTCCTTTAGCAGGAACAGACAGCGTGTCTTCCCCTGGGCTCATTCACACCTGGCAGAGGAAGAGGAAAAAAAAAATCTGATCACAACAGTGTTTTCCAACAGAGAACTCACAGAAGGGCTGTGTTAGTTTCCCAGACACCAGGAACCTGGCAATTCTCCCCACTCCCCTGGGTGGCCACCTCTACCCTGCCCCCTCTCTTGCATGTATCACACACATGCGCACACACACACACACACACACACACTTGATTTCCTCTGACACAAGCCTATGACCAGGGTGGAAGTGAGACACCTTTTTCCAGAACCATCCCCATGGATGTGCCATCAAATTCACGTCCAACCTCTTGTAAGGCTGTAGAGGGCCATAATTAAGAGATTACATTCCTAGGAAGTTAAAAATCTACATCTACGTGCTTTGGTCAGCCCCACTTCACCCATAGAAGGGCTCTTCATTCCAGAAGTTCATTATGACAGCATCACCTGGAGGACTAGCGGCCATCAACCCCATCACTGTCTGACTCCACCTAGGCTAACAGCCGTTCAAAGCTTAGCCACACATTCCAGCTTTACTACATTTATTTGGAGGAAATCCTGAACTCTGGCACCCTACAAGTTTTAATCTCCTTTCCCTATGGCAAGCCATCAAAACCAACCCATTTTAAAGCCAACCAGAGTCTTCCTCTCCAGGAAGTCTTTGTTCCTTAATGCACTGCCTGCAGTGGCGCTGCCTCCATCAGCCAGGCTAGCCACCTGCAGCAGGAATGTCTCTCCTGGAGCCAGTGTCATCCCGTTACAGACTCCTGCACAGTACCCAACACATAAAGGGCCCATAGTGAAAGAGTAAGTGAACCCCACCGCCAATTTGTCTTCGCCACCAAAGAAACCACTCACCTCCACTCTCCATAAACACAGAAAAATGGGCCCTTTCACTTTCCTCCCTCAACTTTCCTTTTCCCCAGAGAAAGTCGATATAAACCATGCCATCTAAGGTGGCAAACATTCCCCAGCTGTCTTAGGAAGTGAGAAACAAGAAATCATAACAAATGGGAGAGGTGTCAGAAGCCCTGTCAATAATAAATGGCCGTATTACTCATAAACCGCAAAAAATTTTCCAAAGTAGTGTGATTAGAGTTTCCAAAGCCCAAGTGCCAGCTATTAATTGCTTCTGAATAAATCAAAAGCTTAGCAAATATCATCTATATCATCACAAGCTTATTAAAAAGAAATATAAGATCAGAAAAAGGTAATCCATATATGTACAAACACTGAACGTCTCTTTTGCCCAAAATAAGTAATATTTCTCACTGAAAAATTACTTCAAACACAGATCTAATGAAATCTTATGAATAAACCAAAACACTTCCTGGCAGGCCTAACAACCTTCATGAACCACTATTTCCACATCTGTAAAATGTAGATGATCTCTGAGGCCTTTGCTATTCAGAAAACTTCTCAGTGCAGACAGCGTCATATTTGCAAATTCATATATTTAATAACTCATACCCTAGCCTAGCTCAACACCACACTGTAGATCATCAACAATTAACCAAAATTCATTAAAGATGTTTTAATTAAAATTTCAGTGGCCTGTAATTCTAGGTGTTAGTCAAACTCAGAATAAATGTCTTGAGCAAGATGTTCATTAAATACATCCAATTAGGGACAACCAAACTTAAGATTAATTGAGAATTTTTTTTTCTCTTGTCATTCTTCAGCAAGAACTTGTTGAACACCTACCACACGTCTATGGGAAGCTCATGGAAAATGTCTGTAATGCATGGATTTAAAAATTTTAAGCTGCATTGAGTCAAACATTTTAACACTTTCATCTCATTGTTCTGTAAATTTTGGAAGGATCCATATATGAAGAACCAAACCTTGAACATGGGGTTTGGATTATACCATCAATAAGGACCATTCTTTGCCGTTGGGAATCTATAGTATGCTGGGAAACAGTTGAGTAAATAGAAAGACATATGCAATAAACCTATGAGAACCCTCTTCAAAGAACTGGCAGCTCTGTCAAATAAGGCAACATGCCTGCTGACAGGCCCAAAGCAGAAAATCTCATCCAATCAGTTACCCCCAGAGAACGGAGTCCTGGGACTCGGCAAGAAGGGTCCTAGCTTCTTGTTCAGGGAAGGAACTATGAGTTTTGCATCAGGAGCTGTGAATGGTGATCGAACACCCATTATGTGGTGTGTGGATTGAGTAGTAAAGAGTCTTCCTGCCAAGAAATAAGTGGATCAACAAGGATGGAAGAGAGTGCGAGAGAGCACCTGCCTCCCCATAGCACTCCTGTTCTTGTTTTTAGTCATTTTGATTGATGCTACATTGCTACCCCCCTCATCTGAGAAAAAAAAAATGAATCAATCTGTACAATAAATTACATTTTTTAAATGCAGCTAGGGGCCACCATTGTGGTCCAATAAGTAAGCCACTGTCTGTGATGCCAGCATCTTGTATGAACACTTGTTGGACCCAGCTGCTCTGCTTCTGATGCAGCTCTTTTCTAATGTGCCAGGGAAAGCAGCAGAAGACGGCCCAAGTACTTGGGCCTCTATCCACATGGGCAACTTGGGCGGAGTTTCAGGCTCCTAGCTTTGTTGTGGCATAGCCCAATGATTTTTGTGCTCTGGGGGTGGGAGTGAACCACAGTGGTTCTTCCACAATACCCAGTGAAACAATCTATGAAACATAAAATGTTGCCCCAGAGAAGACAGAAATCAGAAATCTGTAGTTAAAACCACTTGTCATCATCCAAATCTTCTCTAAGCAAAGGCCATCAGGTTCCCCCCGAGTACTAACCCATTTCCACAGTCAGCAGAATTGGTGAGCACAGGGATTCTGTCAGCAGTGCGGTTCACTTTTGTCTATCACACATAATTCTCCAATTAGATTCCCATCTCAAGCTAACAGCCATGATAATTCAAATTAATTTTGAGTAGCTTGAAGCTGACAGCCTTAGCATTCGCAGTAAATGCATTTGTTACTGAGGTAATTTATTGATATGAGGCTGGAACCTGTCAGTTTCCTTGACGCCTCTTTCAGCAAAGGTATATTTTCTCAGTAGAGGTGACATTATTCACCAGGGGGTGAAATTGGCTTTGGAAGAAGCGAAAAAATATCTTAGATGTTGGAGTGGTTAGTGGACTTCACCCCTGCCGTAGCTCAGCCCCTCCTGGACAAAATCTTTCTTACTCCTTGGTATCAAATTTCTCATGTTACAGAGGAGTTAAAATTTTCTCTGAATGGGTGGAATATGATGATGATTTTAAAAGGTTAAGAAATACTACCAAACTGATATCAGTCATCTGCCACCGTCCCTTGGGCACCCAAAATGCAGACCAAATCCTTAGCCTGCCAGAGAGTACAAATGGGTCGCCTGGTTTACCAAGACTTTGCTTCACAACTAGGTCTGTACTAGGTTGCACTATTCCAACTCTGCCTTCCTTCTGCTCTGGGTTCCAGATGTTCTCCTGGTCTACAGTTGTCAGCTAAGGACCAAGTTCATCATTCTCCCTATGTGCCACACTGGATTCCTCTGGTGACCTTTGAAAATACCAATATTTTCAAATAAAACCAATGTTGCCTAAATATCTACTATTCACTCATTCAACGACTGTTCACTGAGAACCCATTATGTAACAGGTACTGAATGAAACAGACAACAGCTCTTTTTCTTTTAAAAAGATATTATTTATTTTCACTGGAAAGGCAGATTTCTTTTTTACAGAGAGAGGGAGAGACAGAGATCTCCCATCCATTGGTTCACTCCCCAAGTGGTTGCAGTGGCCAGAGTTGAGCCAATCTGAAGCCAGGAGACAGGAGCTTCTTCCTGGTATCCCAAGCAGTTACAGGGTCCCAAGGTATTGGGTCATCTTCTACTGTTTTCGCAGGCCACAGGAAGTGAGCTGGGCATCCCAGCACTTGAAGGGAGATGATCAGCCAACTGAGCCATTACAACGGGCATAAAACAGACATCTCTACAAAGCCTCATAAAGTCTATGTTTGGATAATGGTGAATGAGTCCATAGATGCAGGACACGATGGTGTCAGAGGGTCTATGAAGACCACTCTGGGCATGTCAGAGGAAAGGAGTGATGAAGATACAAGAAGGGAAGGAAAGACTGCTCTGCGAAGGTGACATTTGAAAAGGGACCTGAATAAAGTGAGCCATGGAGCTGCAGGATTATTTCTGGGCAAGCTGTCATAGGCAGAGGAAACGGCAGGCAAGTGCCCAGATCCTGAGGCTGCCCAAAGATGGAAAAGGACAGTGTGTGGCTCCAGAAGAGTGAGTGGAAGGGAAAGGCCGCACTGGGCTGGGAGCTTCCTCACACTCCTTCTTCCTTGCAAGCCTCACAACCACCTTACAAAGCAAGGACAGCCAGCTCTGTCTCACCAGTATTGGCTGCTGGTTCAGTTTTCTGAGCGTATCTCTGTATCAGACAGTGATCAAAATGAGTACAGCCCATGAATAACCTTCCCCATTGCCACAATACTGCAGGAAAATGTCCTTAGCATCCCCTTTGTAGATGCAGATGGTAATGTAGTCAGAGAGGTTGACAGTAATAGAATCAGTTTGCTGAGGGTCTCACAATAAATCACAGATCCAGAAGGAAAACCTAGACCCACTGCACTGACCTTGCTCCAGGTGCATTAGCAGGTTCCTGCCTGTTTTGACTATACCACCTCTCCTAAGCTAGCAC